CATAATATACATAAACACCCAGACCGATACAGAGAAACATATTCATGAATACAATGTTTGCACCGTGTAAGGAATCGAACCCGCGACCATCGCGATCGGAAGTAATGCGGTGTGCTAAAGCGCTAGACCCCCGAGGACGAAATATACATATACATATATACACACTAACTTCCTATTCCGCCTATGCATAGATTTTTTAAACTGTATGCGAGAAACCATCTGATACCCTATTTGATGGTAAGTGGTAAATATCTCCTCTTTTCATGAAAAGCACCAATGATATCACGTTATCATTGGTCACCCTCAGTACCCTTCTTGCGTTGCCATTCCAGAGAACTTCGGTTATGGCTTCGTACTTGTATGCTTGAATTTTTCCTGCAATACGAAGATTCAAACGATATACAAAGCAAGCTGGTAGATGAAGTAGGTAAATAAGAGGAGCCCATGCAAACGACTTTGGTCAAAGTATACTTTAGTAAAAAACAGATGCAATTAATATCTATTCACTACTACGTTAGGTTTAATAAAGTTATATTAAACCAAATGAGATAAATTCTCTAAATTATACTGAAACACATAACAAAAGTCTTTTATTTCTATTTTTTTCCACAGACAGCAGATATGTACGTGCCCTTGGTCGTTTCATCTATTCTTATTAATTTATAATATTCTATAGTATTCTGCACTATACAAATTACAACCATGACAAAATTCATTGTGTGCTTTGGAAAATAAACGAAAATAGCATTTGTTATTTAGCAACTAAGCAATGTCAATTTTATAATTACTACAATTTGATTTACATTTTGCAAATTTATGTCCGATACTAAGACCAGCTCGGAGTAATCTTGTTTTTATCAATCCTGTAATCTTTCGTAATATAATTGTTCTTATTCGAAATTCAAATTAGAATTGAATTCAAGCCAATTAGACTATACTTACTATTTTCTTATCTATGGACTCTGCAAAATACATTCGGCTGCAGCATCCATTATTTTATTTTATATCTGTGGTATTTAGCATAACAAGGAATTTATTTATAAATTAGACACAAACTTGTATGTAATACCTACGTGCAATCCACAAACGAATGTATTTTTTACTTTTTAAGTTCATCGCGATTAATATATGAATCTAAGATTATAGAACATTTACATATTAGTATTTTCGAGTTACCGATATTTCAGTAGAATTTCATTTCATGATAATTGGTAAACTTTTTACCACTGATCATAAATGAAATTGAAATAATGTGAACAATAATTTTATGAAATATCGACAACTCAAAAGTACCTATGAATAACACGTGACAATATTCCGTTTTTATTTCATATCCTAATTTATTTATTTACTTTATAACTAATATAATCAAATCTCTGTGGTTTAGAGTTAACAAGTTAGCAAAAATAAGAATTCTCTCTTCGACATCCTCAGTAGTCTAGCGGTTCCAAACACCGTTTTACTTTCTATAGCTCGATTCCTCGCACGGTGTTATCATTAATATAAGCAGGTATGTATGTATTGGTCTGGATGTTTTCTATGTATATTACGTATGCATTTAAAAAAGAATATGTATCGAAGTATTTATATTAGTTGTCTTATAATAATAAGTACTACCATCTAGTCCCAAACTAAGCACAGTTTTTTTTTATGAGTATAAAAAAAAACAAAACTGTGCTTAGTTTGGGACTAGATGGTGCACAGTATTAGTAAACTACCTTGTGTTATTCTTACATTGTTATTATTCTCTAATTTGAGACCTTTTTCAAGTATGTTGAAAAATGTTAGAAACAATGTACCTACAAACAGCTATAAATGGAAGTGTCACACATTTTGTCTTTTACTACACTCACGGTCGGCAACAAATAGAAGATTTGTATTCTAAAGACAGTTACACAATGCGTTAGTCCGAAGATGAGTCCCCGGGCAGCTAATGCGGCAGAATACTGTCGGACCTCTCCCAGGATTATGGGAACAAATCCTGCCCACTGATGATTCAATTAAAATTTGCATAGTCTCATCCGTTTTGTGTTACAAACGAAAATGTGAATAGACGTTGCTTAAAGGGATAACAAAGAGGAATGTACCTATTAAATTAAATTAATTTATGCTTAAATTAGCCTAATATATTACCTACTTTAAGAATTCCATGTCGATTGGTACTTAACCATTAAAAGCTACACTTATTCAATAACTATTTTTAAAATTTATGGAAATAATAACAATAATTACAAGCCTACTATTCACACAGAGGCATCTAGTCCTAAGTTAAGTACAGCTTGTGTTATGGGTACTAAACAACCAATAGCAATACCCTTATATACAGTTTTTTAATACATACAATATATGTAAAATACCCAGGCCAATACAAACAATCATACTCATGAATACAAAATAGCATCGTGCAATAAGTCGAACCCGCAATCGTCTGAAGTAAAGCGGTGTGTTGAACCTTTAGATCACCGAGACCGTCGTTGGCTTATAATAAGTATTATAATATCCAGTTGCCTGGAAATAAAATTAAATTACCTCTAGTTATCGTACTATAAAAATCAATACATGGTTTAGATACGTAAATAAAAATATAGTTTAAATCTTATATAATCATATGATTTAAACATATATAATCATACCATTTAGTATTAATTAATATACCAACCAATATTTACCAACGTAAACATTCTAAAAAGTAGCATTTTCACCTTTGTTTGGGCACCTCTCTCTGGTAATTTCAACCGCCAATTTGACTATATTGTTCTGCGTGTTTTCTATTCAAATTATGAACTATAACACATGTTAAAAGCTTGCTGATGGCTTGATTATGTACTGTAGATTTAGGTCTTATCTATGTATAGTTTTAGTACACTTAGATTGTTGAATGAACTACCTACCGGGGTTTTTTCAAGGGACTGCAGCATAGTTTTTCAATAACAGTATATTAGGAATCGGCAACGCGCACGTGACACCCCTGTTGTTTCAGGCATCCATAGGCTATGATTACCGTTTACAATCTAATGGCCCGTATGTTTGTTTGCCACCATTATAATATAACAAAAATGTAATATTATTTATTCAGAAAATACCTATATAAGTATTTCTATTAGTTGTTTAGTAACAATAGTATGAGCTCTGCTTAGTTTGTGACTAGATGACGCTGTTTGAATTGTCCTGAATTACTATTATTATATTACGCTGTCGGCTCCACAACTTCTCTGTCCTGTAGTGTACCTACTGTAGGTCTAATAGGTAAATATTTTATTTCAAGTTTTCCTTTCTTGCAGTGACGTATTTACTAGTCGTTGTTTTTAACTTAGTCACATATTATGTGATGTCAAAGCAAAGGTGATACATTATTAATATTAGTATATTACATCTAGGAGAATATTGTATTAAATTGTTCAACCAGAGAGATATCGCAACGAATAACTTAATTATGTGAGTACATTTATTTATTACATTTTTTTTTATTTAGTTTATAATTTTCACTAAATATTATTTTTGTTCCATTATTCACGCGTATGTCTTTGGACTGTACCTGAACAGATAGCTACTTGAAGTTGCTTTTGTAGCAAGTTCAAGTAGCAGTAGTATGGACTAAAGTGCTATTTTTATGCATAACAACCATGTATAAAGAAAAGATTATATATGTATATAATTAGTTGTCCATTTTGATTGCGTATTTATTATATTTTCGATTTATTTTACTGAACGCTGTGTATATTTAAATATATAGAGTTCTATTTACATTAATTTGAAAACTAGTATTAATTTATGCACTAATCTGTACTTCTATAGTATAATATAATATAATATTATAATAGAGGAAAGATTTGACTGTGTGTTTGTTTACATTGAATAGTCACTGGAACTACTGTACCGATTTTTAAAATTGTTTTGCCATTAGAGTTCTACATTATCTCTAATAAACACAGAACAGTTAGGGATCCATATGAAAACTAACCCACCGTGTCCAAAAATAACACAAGTAATTACGAAAACACACCAATAAATATCCAAGCGAAGCCGGGGCGAGTTGCTATTATTTTTTAACCTGAAGAAATCGAAACAAGACTGCCCGTTGGCACAGGGCCAAATTAGACTTAAATAAAAGTCGAGAGCCCCTTGAAGGAATTCGCTAGCCCTGTAGCTTAATTCGGCACTAACGTATATAATTACGTAATATACATATATTGGTATATAAAAGACAGTATTTTTGTCTTCGAGCAAAATAAGTACTTATTTAGTACTTAGAAGGCTAGGTAAGTAACGAATGTTTATGTGAAGCCCCAATTCAACCCATTGCATGTCGTGAATCGAAAAAAAACCACATCGCGTCCCTTCATTAACATTTAAAGTGCTGCAAACGTTCGCATTGTGATAAGAGATTATGCAAATGTAAATCAAATTGTTAGTGGGCAGAGATTTGTTCAGACTAATCCTACGGTATGTCCTATCTCAGGATTTATTTTAAATGGATGTCCGCTATTCCCCATTCATGAAATTCTAGACGCTATTGAATAAACAGAGAACTATTTATAACTATGTACAATTTATATCAAAATAACATTTACAGCAAAAAAATCTATCGAAAAATCAACTTTAAAACTTAAGGTTTTTAGATATGTATGTATGAATTTTATATAAATATATAAAATTATAAAAATATATATAGAATTCTAACAATTAGACGGCAATTGGACTAACACAAATTCCAATTTAAAAAAATACCAATATATTTTTTTATAGAAAGGTTCTACGGTTTTAGATACTAGATCATTGGGGCTCAGTGCTATTATTTCACTGAATTTATTAATCTCAAAGAATATTCTATTGACTATATGGTCTCCACAATTTTTCTAATATATCTAGTTGTAAATTTATTAACATATTCTTTTCTTAATATTATAAGAGGTTGCTTAAATATAAAATCCAATAAACAATGAATAAAAATAGTAAATAATAAACAATTCTAATTCAAAATATACAATTTTATTGTGCAATTTACACAGAACAACTCATAATAACATCAACATAATCTAAAATAGCACTCTACATTTTTAGCTACAGATAAAAATACAATATATCGATTTAATATTATTTTAAAAAAGGTTGGAACTTTTATAAGATTCATATCAGATCAGTCAATTTCTATCAACGGTTTGTTAAGATTTATACAATTTTCTGTGGAATTAGAATCCACTACTTTTACAATATTCGAAATGTTAAGATTTTCAGTATAGTGTTATAATTTAACTTTTGCTTGTAGATTAACAAATTCTATTTAGACTTGGTATGATACCAACAAGTCAAACCAACACACAGGTAAACATGTTGTCTTCTTAGTTGATCGATTAACCGCAAATCAAATGTTTTGCTTGAACTATTTGACTAAAACAATTTCTACCTAATTAAAAGTAATTAGGTTATTACATAAAATACAAATTCATTACAGACTGTATTTTTAAATAAGGGGCGAAAATTTAACGTATTTTTTTTTTTTTACTTTAAACTGAATATGCGTTTTAACATTCTATTTCGTATATATGATCACATATTGGATTTATTCTTCTTTTACTTCGCCAGGAGAACCGATTAGAAACCAGCGTGTTCGCGCTCGCACTGCCGAAGTGCGTACCAATCTCTTCTTATCGTCAAGAGATGGCGCTAAATCTAATAATATATCTTGTTTGTATGGAAGCAATAATATTGTACGGTATGAATTTGCTATGTCGTATAGGCACTGAAGACTTTTTATTCGAACATCCTGAAAAAAAAAACGAAATAAACATTATTTATCTACAATATTAGGCTTGCTTGGTTTAGGAGTACATGGTATAATATAATAATAATATCTCAGGACAATTTACTTACCACCATCTAGTGCCAAGCTAAGCAGTACAGTAACACATGCTGTGTTAGGGCTATTAGATACTTAAATACATTTCTTTGTAAATATATACAGAATATACGCAGAGAACACCCAAACCAATATAAACATCATAGTTTCAGGAATGGTACCCGCAACTATCGGACCATACCGCCATAAGGTAAAGTATAAATTGTCATGAGATTTTATTTTTAAAAATTATATTGTAACTTACCATTGATTTTACATATTTAGACAAGTTAACAAGCCGAGGCAATACAGTTTGTAAACTGTCTGCAATAAGGTAATGTTTCCCTTGAACAATATGACTCAATATATCTACCATTACAAGTAACAAGTCTTTATTGTCATATTCTAAAGAGTCAACTACTAAAGGTACAATCTGAAAAAAAAAACAATTTTAATAAAGTATCCAAACATTGTTGAGTTATTGTGTTGTCGCTAACCTTACAAAAAATATTTCCTGTAAGCTATACCTTTGCAACTTCATTATTAAGTACACATTTCGGCACTTTTTCAAGGACATAAGCCCAACTTAATAAATATTCTTCTTTTACGTTCTCATTTATGGGGGCCATTTTCTCTGCGAGCGTTGAGAAATTCAAGAACATTCTCTGTTTATACAGCAGACTTGTTCTACAGTGGCATTTTTGGTTTAAATACTCTCTGTCGTCTTCCATAATAAGTTGAATAGCTTTCGAGCTCTCCTTGCAGTATTCTGGGCTTGACAATGTCATCGATATCTAAAAATATAACAATTTTTACTGGTCATGTTTATTCATTTCTCATAAATAATAATATTAACAAGTTATTACATGAGACCTATGGAGTATGAACAATTACATAAAAAAGTACTTTATACCACATACCTTTTGTAACCAAAACAGGAATAAGTCACTACCTCTCATGATTAAAGACTTCGTTACCCACCCATATAATATAATCAACCTTGGACACAATTTTGGATCATCTCTGCTGCATGTAGATAAATAATTTTTCAATAATTCGTACAGAAGTTCAAACCTTTGTCCATACTCCGCCTTATTTAGAAAATGTGCAATCAAAACACAAGCCCTCGTTCTTATCAGTTCATTATCACAAACCAATGACAAATTTAGAGATAGCTGCATAACTTCTTCAAACTTAGGGTCATATACATCTTGTTTAATTGAACTATACAAACTTTCTAATACAAGATAATATATCTCATCATTTTTGCATTTTTCTGTAATATCTGCAGCATGTTTTGTTAATATTCTCAATTGTTTCTCACTTGGTAAATTGCTTATAACGCTGGATATCAAAGTAAATGCATGCAACAAAGGTTCTAAGGGTCCATTAATTTCTGTTAACACCCAAACTATTATAGAGTCTACAAGTCCATGATCACTCTCAATTTGCAGTACTTTAGTGTCTGAATATAAACTAGTATTCGATATACATTCACTCAATGCTTCAACAACTTTTGAAGCTTCTTCATCATTAGTACTTATGACTTTCAGCATGTGTTCAATAATAACTTTAGTAAAATCGTCAATACTGGCTAGACTGGATAATAAATTTAAACGTTTTTGTAAAGCTGCCTTGTCTTGTGTTAAATTATCTAAGTCACATTTACCTTTGACTACCATACTCATAATTAGTTCTGGATATGTTCTAGCTATTGCATGAACTGTTTCAACACTCACACGAAGTAATTCGTTATCCTGGGAGTGTTGTATATTATGCATTAGAATTTCAACAAATGGTAATACAAGTTCACTTTGTAAAATACTCTTTACTTTTATTAGATTTTTAAAACCAGCTATCTGATAATCTTTTACCGGTTGACTGACAGCTGTTAAGCATAACTGAGGAATCTCGTTTACTTGTGTCTCCAGTTCTCCTAATATTTCCCAATGTTTAGCTAGACCATACAAGTCTGACAAGAAATCCAAACTTGCAATTTGTAATTTAGGAGATGTTTTAAAACCATAATAAGCCACTGTAGCTGGTATCATTGATTTAGTGATGATTATGCAAGATTCTTTAGAAGCATTTGCAACAGTCAGTAATACTTTAGTAGCCTGAACGAAATGTGCAACTGTGGTTGACTCAGCTACAGCTGTTTGCATAGATATAAGGATTCCTTTATTGAAATTCTCAAATGCTTGATCTGTGTTTGCAGAAGTTGCTAAAATGGCAACTAATGCTGACAATGCTTCATGGGCAGCCATTTTAAGTTCGTCATCAGTTTTATGACATATTTCTCTATAAATTGATGACCATAAGGCTTTCAGAAAGGGTCCATAACTTTCTGCTTTGAATGTTTTACAGCTTTCTGCCTAAAAATATATATTTTATATATATTATTAATAGACCATTTAGTAAAAAGTAGGTGTTTGTGTAACAATGTAATAAATTATATAACTGATAGATTAAGGAAATCATATGAATTAACAGAAAAAAAGAATGAATAAAACTAACCAATAACTTCAATGAATCAATTTTAGCCAACCTTAAGCTGGAATCCAGCTTTTCAATCAATAATATTAAACAATGCTCTCCAAATTCAGGTATAGCACATAAACATGGACCTAATGCTGCAGCTAGATCCTGTCGTGTGACTGCTGCTGGATCATCAGGGGATGGATGAAAGTCTATTGGATAGTAACAAGATATTATATCAAACATTTCCTCTACTAAATGTCCAATTGGTATATTCTTTAAAAAGTATGGTAAAAATTTAAATAGGAACATCAAGTTGCGAGGATCTCTTTCACCATCCATTGCGGAAATTATACCATAAACAAAGTCTGGCCCCAGAACTTTCATATCTGTAATTAGAAATTAAATATTTATTAATGTAGTATTACTATCAATATTAGAATTAATAATTAAATTTTCTAATAGTTCTTTAGTCTATGTTGCAAGTTCAATATGCTATATAAATTGGCATTTCTCGTCAGTTCTTCTTAAATTGAAAACACTCCGAACTGATGGTAAATTTGACATGTCATAAGAGTATAATAGACCTACATGAATAGATTTACTATGAATGCCAAAATAGTCAATCTTTTAGAGAAATATATAATTAATTATACATAGTACTGGTGATTAAAAAGTTATTCCACTATTTAGAAAAATATTTCTAAAAGAGTACTTTTTAAATTATCTAAGTATTTTAAAATTCAATTTATTAGTGCTTTTCTCAATAGTACAACTTTTCCAGTTACATCCAGGAATACTTTCAACCAAATATAATTAATAAAACTTACAATCCAAATCTTTCTCCATTAATTTCTTTATTGTTAAATATATATTAAATCTGTCTTGCCTCACTTGTGATTGACATGCCACCTCTCTGAACAATACAGTCAGATACTCTCCTGTATTATTCATATTGTAATGTTTCATATCAATGATAACTAAATACCCCTCTAAAACAGGTGGAATTACTCGGTGATTGTCTTTAAGTCTATCTGTGTAAAATTTGGCAATGAATTTTAACTGTGCCTCTAATAAATAATCCTTTGGGAGTTCCTTTAATAATTTTGTGAAGAACCTCATTCCTTTCTCTCTGTTCTCCGGGTCTTTGTTTGTTAACACTCCCGCCATATTCTCGACAAGATGTGTGATATCTATATGGCCTGACATGATGTCTAGAATAAATAATGTTTAATTAATTTATCATTAATAGTTTGTTTAGTGGATTAAATAGGTTGTACTCACCTGCAATGGTATACACTGAAAGGGCATAAGTAATAGATTATAGGCTGAGAAAGAAGTCAGGTCAGTCAGCACATTGTGATGAATTTTTTAGGAATTAACTACAACGGTTTCTGGGGCTAAACTTTATGAACAACAATCAGATAGGGTATATTAATAGCAATTGGGTCACTGCCCTATAACCCATTACTAACAATCTTTTCCAAACTATTAATACTACTTTAAATATTAATCTATTGAAAGTCACACCAATGACAAAAGCCTAATAATACATTTTTATTAGCTCATAATGTATGAACTCATAAAAAGTTATTATTTTATAAAATTAAAAATGGAATACTTAGTATAAAAAAATTTGAACAAGAAAACAAACCTGCAATCTAGCAATTAAAAAAAAAAACCTCAATATAAATCACTCATTTTAACTAATTTTCATTGTACAACACTAAAAATTATACACTATAACCTTTAAAATATGTTTCATGTGACTTATTAAAAAATTGAACCGAACGTGAAAGAGATCATTTTTTACTTACCAGTAACCACACTTTGCGTTTCTTCAAATATATGGTCAGATTTTATTATTTCATCTGCTAAGTCCGACTTAAACCAAACAGAATCCATTTCTATTTTTTTTAAGTAGAGGCACAATTAATTTGAAACCTGTAAATTTTATTAAATTTTAAAAAACCATAACTGATTGCCCTATTTCCCTTTTATATAAAAAGAGATATTAGCAGTTTTTAGAGATATAAAAAACTGTATTTTTCTAATAAAAAACTATGTATGTTGAATACAAAACAATTTTTGGTTACTTGTAGTACTTTGTTCTGTGATCTGTGCTGTGTGCTCTGTTGATGTGCAGTTTGACAGTTGTCGTTGAAGTTCTATTACAAAAATATATAGAAAGTATCTCATAATCTGTTTTTGAAACCATGGTAAAATAAGTATAAAATGTAAATTTATAATTTGAAAATAATTTTGATGTTCCTACGTGTCGTTTGTTATTATATAGATATACATATAATAAATATGATTTTAATGTTTTGGTTTTCCTGTGGTGACACTTTGAACGATGACAACCTAAAATATAAATAATGACTGACTGACCGATGACTGGTTTGATTGACAATAACACTTGTTTACAAATTAAATTTTGATTTTAAATGTGAATCAAATTGGTTTGAGTTTCGTCAATTTTTCCGATTCTCCGTTGATCAAAATAAACCCTATAGAACTTCATTAATTATTATATTATTTCCGAAACAACATCTAATTACCTACTCATTAATATTTTGTGTAAAAAACCTCATGTTACTCCCGTCAAAAGTGAAATCAATTTAAAAGTGGTGCAATTTTGTAGTCGACGAAAATCTCTATATTATAAGCAACAAATAAACGTAATAAAACTCAGATAAATATAAAATGTTACATAAAACACTAATTGATTTCGTAGTCAAATACCACAGACCACGTTATTTGAATAACGTCATAGTTTTTCCAAGCAATGGAAACTCGTATTTTGGACGTCGACTGGTAATTTCTGCAGCTCCGCTCTCTACATCAACACCTAATGTACAATCACCAAGAAATTTCGGTACAAGCACCATCAAATTGAATGAAATCACTTTGAACACTGAACAGAAAAAGTATGAAGGAAAGTTCCAATTAATATTCACATGTAAAAAGTGTAATTCTCGGAACACCAAGTTTATTACAAAACTAGCCTATTACAAAGGAGTTGTAATTGTTACATGTGATGGTTGTCAAAATAAGCATTTAATAGCAGACAACTTAAACTGGTTCTCAGATATGAATGGCAAGAAAAACATTGAAGATATAATGGCAGAAAAAGGGGAGACAGTGCAGAAGATAATGTCAGAAGATTTAGAATTTATAGCAAAGGAAATGATTAAGAATGTTACAAATGAAGAAAAGAATTGTAATAATTTATTAAAAGAGTGAAATTAAATTTTGTGATATGGACTAATCTTTCAGTGTTATTTAATTAATTATGTGCAATAGAGTTTATACTATATGTAATTTATGTATGTTTAGTAAACATTTTAAAATGTTGGTGGTTTTTTTTTCTAAAGGACATTTGATATTAATTTGCACAATTTTCTCCTCTCCTCAATCATACTCATCTTGCGACATATTAAGGTTTCATCCCTAAGTATATAATCTATAAGTGATGTTTTTATACATATTGTCAATGCAAGAATATTCTTAATCACCAAACAGAGAAAAGAATATGAAAAGCCTCTTTACTGTAGATAACTTATAGACTTATAGTTTTATTTGTGGGTTATATGAACTTAGCCACTAAGTATATGCAATGATATCATAGACACTAAAATAGTTATTCCAAGTTTAAAACAATTTTTAAAGATTATATTGTTTATTGATAGCATATCATTAATTACAATACTATAGTTTCATAATCACAAAAATATGGCCATTTTTAGAACAAAATCGTTGTGTATATTCCCTTTAAATTACATAGGTAAATGTTATACAAAATTAAGTAAAATATTTATATAAAATAGATATTATTACATCAAAAAAGGTAACAAGCTAATTATTATTCATCCTGTTTCTCTAAAACTCAGATCATAATTATCTTATAACATTAAGTATAATAATCTGAAATCACACTAAATTTAATAGTGGGTAAGGACATTGGATATCTACTTATGTATATCTAAACAATTAATACAAAGTATACATTAAAACCATTTGCTTCATCTGGCACATGCTTCTAAACTTTAATAAACACTATATAAGGCACAATAGAATCACATTCATTCAAACATTATCCTTATTATGTACTTGTGCACAATAATATACAAATACTTGTATGTAATATCTAAAATGTAAGTAGAATATACAAAGGAATGATTACAGTCTCATTTTGGAAATGTTTTTATCTTTCTTTCTTACATACAGGCCTGAGGAATAATCAATAAATGTTTACAATTATATTCACTGATTAAAATCTAATTTACAATATTGGTAATTGAGTGATAAAATCACTACATTCAGTCTTCAATGTTCTATACCCTTTTTGGACGGCTAACAATAGCATAATCACTTCCGTTGCAAATGTTGTGGTTTACTTCTTCTAAGCCAACTTGATTTTGAAGTGCCTGAACTTGAGCAGCAGTAGGTACCTGTGGTCCTGGTGTATTAGGCTTTCTTATCATTCCATAACCTAAATGAGAGTCATCTGCCAATCTAGCAGTCTGCATTACATTTTCAACTTCATCATAATCATTCCATGTGTCTTTATTCTTTGGGTCTCCCAAAGCTAGAGTTGTGGGGCGAGCTTCCATTTTCTTATATCTTGAAGATTTATTCAATTTACTTGTAGACCCAAAGTATTGTAATCTATCATAGTTCTCATCTTCTGGATCAACCACTGGGCTTGGTATGAGGATAAGACCATGGTTGTTCAAATTGTCTTGAGACCTTGATATTAACTTTAGGCAGTTGGGATTATCCCCCAAATTAGGAGTAAATTCTGTATGATCAGGATCATCTATCCCTAAAGTTTTCCAAGCTTCACTTCGCACCTCAATCTTGTCATATGGCACAGAGGGTGGGCTTTGATCTCTCTTTACTTGATCAATAGGTTCATAGTTATCAAGTTTATTGTATCTACCAAAGTCAATACTTTCATCGGTTGAACTTGGAATATCTTTACTAATATTTTTGTTTAAGTTATGGACATTGACTATCTTCCGTGGAGGCTTTTGAGGTTTAGGTTTTAATGCTGGTTTTGGCATTAGCAAAGGTGCAGTATCTCTTTCAGTGCAAGAACTTTGTTGGCTAGAGGATACAGAAGCTGTCTTAAATGATAGAGAACTTAAGTTCAAATCATCAGGCCTTGCAGCCACTAAAGGACTCCTAGATCCAGGAAATAAGTTTGCACTAGGTTGAATATTGAACTCTGTATGTTCAGGACTATTGAGGTTGTCATTACCAATCATTTGCTTCATTGTTTTCATTTTTAATGACAAACATTTGAATATTTCAGACTGGTTTGGATGGTCAAAATGAAAAATTCCCTCTCCAGTGTCACATTTCCTTCCTGCTTCAAAAGTGAATTTACCCTGTCTATAACCATATCTTCTTATATACCTGTATGGCCATGTGGCATATAGTTTATTATCAGTTACATCTTTTAATTCAATGGCAGTTGAAGTTAGTAAGAGAAGATATCTAATTGACTCAAATCCACACCTTGTAGAAGCTTCTGAAGCACACATTTTTACTGAAAACACACCTTCTCCAGAAGAGCAGTACAAATCATTGTCTTCATCACAACTGATTGGACAAGAATCTCGACCTTTAAAGGCAACAGATTGAAGTGCTTTCACCCATTCCAAAGTTTCAGTTTCCGATTGTGTGCTCAGTTGCTGAGTATGTGACTTAGTTAGTATAGTAATAGTATTTGGACTAGAATGTGTTATTTTAATACAATTTTCAAGGGTAATAATTTTAGGTATAGCACCAGTTGTTACCTCTTCTTTATGGTCGTATATTTCGAGACGCTCAATTCCCTGCTTGCTTGCATTGAATAATATACAATACTTTTGTTGCCAAGTTTTCTGAAACGAAAATATAAATTTTCTATATTAAAAAAAACAAAGTATTTATTACTACAGATAATTTATTAAAGTTTATGCGCGGTAATATTTTTGTTTCGAAGTCTGACTCATTCTACAAAGGCACGTTTTGTAATGTTCTAATTATAATGTTACGTGTGTAGTAATTACTTTAAATGTCAGAATTACAGTACACATATTTCTAATAACACAAAATAAATGAACACTGTACCTTTTTTGGAAATTTACTAAATACATTCCCTCCGGCAGGTGGAAATAGTAAACAACCTGATTTAATTTCATCGTCTTGATCCATCTTATTTGTTTGGTTTGGGGTAGTATTCAAATAATTCCTGTAATTTAATAAAAGTACAAAACATATCACGTTTATTTACATGCACCATTAAATTACACAGTTTTTTTTTAGTTTTTTTTTATTAAATAGAATGAATAAGACAGTCGACAATGGTCAGCTCTATAGCCGCCATATTTGTTATTTGTTTTTTTTACTTTTTTATACTTTAAACTCCAGAATAAGCCGGCACAGAGTACGTAAATTAATTAGCCTAACTATAGATTTTAGTTGTCAAAATCAAATATACAATTCACACCCTATCGCCAGTGTCTGTGATGGTCTAATCTATGAATTTATTTTTCTAACTAAAGTAGTCTGTGAAACTAACACCATATCATGTTTTCGAATTTTGTATATTCAGTATTTCAATCCATCAATTTAATTACATGCAAAATATCAATCTAATTCAAATATAAACACAAATTCCCAGATCTATTGCAATTGAATATAGTATATTTATTCTGCTGGACCCTATTTGTATACTCCTCGTAGATTTTAAATTTCACAAAAAATTATAGATTAAGTATTACTATTTATTTTAAGGTCTTTTCAATAACATCTAATTGATAATTTTGGGTTAGGAATAAAAATATTAGTCATTTTAGTAATCTTTAAAAATTACACTTAAAATTTTATTTTATTTTCTGTTTTATTTTTGATCAATAATGTCTTACAACGTGAATCCTTTGGCTGGAACTGCTCATTTGCTTGATGAATTGGACAGTAAGTGTTGATAATTTTCTGTCTTAATTAATTTTATAACACTGGCTCTATTAGCTACATTAATGTTAATCCATGAATATGACATAAGTAAAGCATTTATTTTCAAAAGAATGTTGAATATTTTAAAAATTGCTGATGATATTAAACAAAATAAATATAGATTAATTTTTAAAACAATATTACAAACTGTATTAGTTTATAATCATTATTGATATTAAACTATAATAGAACTGTAGGTCTATTTTTAAGTTTATTATATGTATTGTAGAATATATATATATATTGTAGAATTATTTTAATTATAATTTTAAAAATTTAATGTTTTACTGATGTTCTTGTTCCTTGAAGAGAAACTTATGGTGCTGCTACGTGATGGAAGGACACTTATTGGGTACCTGCGCTGTGTCGACCAATTTGCAAATTTAGTCTTACACAAGACAATTGAGAGAATACATGTGGGTAAAGAGTATGGAGATATACCAAGAGGCATATTTATTGTGAGAGGTGAAAATGTTGTCCTTCTAGGTGAAATTGTAAGTTTAGTCCATAATTGGTTTATTAAGTTTAATTTATAATCTATATCTATACATATAAACAAAATTGGAGTCTCTGTTTGTAATATTGAAATAACCATTTTTTACTATATGCATATGAATACAATTATGGTACATGCATAACATTTTTTTAAAAAAATTCTGTCTGTCTCTGGCTGGACCGATTTTGACGGGACTTTTATTGGCAGATAGCTGATAAATAAGGAGTAACTTAGGCTACTTTTATTTTAGAAAAATAAAGTTAAATACCATGCATGGTATGCATGGTATTTAACTTTATTTTTCTTTTAGAAGTTGCGGGTATAGATAGTTATAAATAAATTGTATTATATATGAACTTCAATACCAATACAGCAGTATATTATTTGTGTACAAAATAAAGTCTGAGACCACTGTATCAATTTGATATTTTTTTCAATTCTTATAAGTTACACTAGTATAGTAATATATAGTAAATAATAAATAATAATGTTTATTAATTATTTTATTATAGTTTTTTTTTATTATAGTAAATAATTATGTTTATTTATTATTTAACTATGTTTATTGTATGTACCTTTTTTATCTTCACTTTCTTTATTCATACACCCATAGGTAGTCTATAAGAGATTGCTTAGTGATAAGACTGCTTTGTGTTTATGTATATTTACTATTTCAATGATTTTGTGTATTTGATGCAAAACAAGAATATAAATAAATAACTATACTCTAAATTGACACCATATAATATGATAATGTATACAAAACTTATAGTTATGAGCTCTTTGGCAAAGCTGATGTGGACCACTGGTATATAATAATTTTATATGAAACTTTTTCTTAAATGTTTGTTCCCTTGAAATTAATATTGGTATAAATTTAGCTCCTGTTTTTGGTAAAAATATTTAATTTATATAGTTTTAAACAGTCCTTTATACACACATATGGAAACTTGTTTACTATATCCCTGACAGATAAAATATAATAGTATTTTTTTATTTCCAGGATAAAGATAAAGAAGATAATTTACCTTTAACCGAAGTGTCTGTGGATGATATTCTAGATGCACAGAGAAGAGAACAAGATGCTAAAATTGACCAACAGAAATTACTGTCTAAAGCATTGAAAGAGAGAGGTCTTAACTTATTGGCTGATTTAGGGCATGATGATATGTTTTAATTAGATATCACTATTACAAGTGAAAATCCAGACAGACCACTGACTTCTATTAATGCAAAATGTTGTAAGCTTATATAGCCTATGTATGAAAAAGAGTGTAATAACTGAATATCTGACCCTGCACTAAAATATGATACAGTGAAAGTCTGATGTACTATATATTTATATTATAAACATTAAAATTACTTTGAATTTGTCTATAATAGTTAGCTAGTAATTATTCAAAACTAAAAGTGTAATTAATTTGAGTTATAATTGATTGTAATTTTTAATGTAATAAATAAGATGCGAAATTACTTATTTCGCTTAAATTAAATCAAAATTGTAGTTTGAAATTAGAAAAATTGTGAACTGAAATATAATAATCTGAAATGTATATTATGTGGTAACATATTATGTCATAATTAAAATTAAAATAATTTATATATTTGTAATAAATTAATTTGGAAAAATCTTGTAAACATTAATGTTTTTGCGGCTATGAGTTCTGTCCTTTTTGCAGCACTTAAGGGGAGAAGAATTAATCCTAACGAAACAAAAATATCTGTATTAATATGTAATGTTTTTTAGTATTTCCGATAACTACCGGTCTAATGAGATAAAAACTGATTGGGTGTTTTATTTAATATCATAAATTCAATTAAATTTCTACGTAAACAACTCGGCAGAAAAAAAATTGCTGACGAATATACTAAGGGGATCCAATATTTAATTATAACAATAGATCACACAGTATATTTTGTTAAATATCGGTGAGTGGTATTAAAGTAGTAGAAAATGGTCAGTGATCACTACGTTTTTGGTCAACAGAGTAGTATACCTTACTTTTTTTAAATCCATATTCCAACATCTAGACTTCCAGAGCCATAACAACCAACTCGTTCTGAAGTTGTAATTGGACAAAAGAAGTGTAATCAGAATTTACTTATTATTTATTATTTTTTGTACATAAGATTTTAATTTATTAATATAACATTTATTTTGATAATATTTGCAATGAAATTGAACAAGTTTTTTATTTCTTAACTAACAGTTTTTTAAAGTTTTGGTTAGACATGTGTATTATTCAGTTTCAAATCGATCCGCATTAGCCGTTGTGGTGATATGACGTTTAATTGAAAATGAAAACAAATCTTCCTCGTTTTAGTTGAAATTTTTAGTATAATATTAAATATATATACTTAACTATATGAACAAAAGCAATAAGTGGTTCGCTAAATGTCGCGGAATATTAGTGTAATTGTTGTTATCAGTTTGGTCAAATGTTTTTCTACAATAATCATGTGAAATTGAAATATCTGTCTATAGTGCGTTATCTAGTAATAATTTTATGTGGTTTATTACTTTAGTATTAATAAATATGAGTTCCACGGAGTTATCATTGATAGAAAAGCTTAGAAAAGAGAATTCCGACCAGTTTTTTACCTTAGTGCGGATGCACTTGTCCTTTCTAGTGGATATAAACACCGACGAGTGAGTTTTAATCAAATATATTCGAAATCTTGTAAAATTTTGTGTTTACATTATCAGTATTAATAAACGATAATTGTTGTTTTTAGTGTTGATTGTTCAACAGACAAACCAAAGCAATTCCGATGGAATTTTCACAAAAAAACCAAAAATGCAGGTTCCAATTCTAGTCAAAATAACACAAAGAATAGTGAGGTCTGTACTATTACTGAGGAGGGTATGCTGAGGCTTAATGAATTAATAGACTTCCTCTCCAAGACAGAAAGTAAGTGGTCACATTATTTATTTTGTATTGCACAACTTTCTGCCATTTGAATACCTATCTGAAAATGAAATGAAATGAAAAATGTTTATTTCTTTAAAAACAATTCAGTTACAATAACATAGTGTTGGGATGACCTAGTAAGCATGGAAATGCCTGTGTCAGGTACACCCCACTCTTCCATATACATTGTCAAAATCTAATGTCTATCTAATTAACTAACTATTATGTTCTGCTCCTTTTTAATTATTGTAATCTTATGTTTATACAAATAAATCATTATTATAATTTTTTTTTATATTATTATTATTATCTATATACCTTCAGTGGTTAGATAGAGTGATAATGTATAGATTTCATTACACAGTTCAGAAGTATAAGCTCATTATGAAAAAGCCATTTTTATAAGGACATAAAAATCAAAATTGTATGGCACATTACTGTATAAAATAATATAGTTGAGAACACATACAAATTAAATATTAATTACAATTAAGTATGTAAAGTATAGGTTGATGTTTAAAAAAAAATTGAGCAATATTGTTTTGTTTACAGTGCTTAATACTTTATTTTAATTACATTATATAAAATAGGGATAACTGTGCATTAACTAAATTATATCTTAGGTATTACCTACCATAATTATCTTTTTATGTTACATTATTCACAGACAGAACACAGTTATTGGATAAAATATTTTTTGTTCTTAATGGCTTACATGCTAACATAATATTATAATTACTAAATTGCAGATGTCACCCAGGAAGGTATATTTCGTCGGACAGGCTCTCTCAGTCGTCAACAAGAACTCCGTCAGTTACTCCTAACTGGCTCCAACCTTGGTCTAGATGAGGGTAGATTCTCGGTGCATGATTGTGCATCTGTATTGAAAGGGTTCCTAGCTGAATTACCGCAGCCATTACTGATGGATCAGTATTATCAGACTTATTGTACATTAGCTGGTAAGCTTCATTGGATTGCCATGAAATCATAAGGTTCTAACTCCCTCTGTCTTTGACTTTGTTAATAATTACTGAAATTGGTATTACATAATTACATTAAAACTAAACATGTAATACTGGTAGAGCTCTCTGTACCATGGGAAATAAATATACCTAAGGACAATGCAATAAAAACAAATAAATAGTATGAACTACTAAATGAATTAACATAAAATGGTATGTGATTCATTTATATGTTCTCCAAGTGGCAGTGAGACAATAACAACAGTGAAGTCTTCTAAAAGATCTTGGCCTATCTAGAACAGCAATAAGTTCTATAATAGGATGTGTTTCTAAAGCTCCATCTGCAGGCTCTTACCAGATTTGGCTGGGCAGGGAGAGAAACCAGAGCAGTGAAGGTGAGTGTTGATGTATGTTGTCAAGGGGCCCTCAAACCGTACACCCATGTCCCGGCAACTGCTCAGTGTTTCTCTCTCTGCCACATATTAGACTGGACACTGGCATGGTGAATCCTTGGAATGCTCTCAATTTCGTCTCTTGTCAACACTGTTTCTAATTTTCAGCTCAATATCCTCCAAATGCTGAATCATCGGAGACTAAACTCCTCACAGCATTACAACTGCTGCTGCTCCTCTTGTCTCCATTACACAGGAGTTTCTTGGAAAGGCTGCTGACATTGCTTCGGTTAGTCGCCGATAATGAAGCATCCAACCGCATGTCACCAGATACTCTAGCAACTATGTTCACACCACATTTACTGTGTCCAAGAAAGGTAATTTTTTTATTTCCATCTAGACCCAAGTTAAGCTAGCTAAAGCTTGTGTTATATGTACTAGATAACTGATACAAATATATATATTTTTTTCTAAATAAATACACATTATTATTTGTGTCATGAACATCGGAAGTGACTACCGAAGTCGTCAAATAAATTCTCGATAGATCGGAACACACACTTCCCAAGCGCCAAAACATCTCCACACAAAGAGCTCCTCCATAAGACCCACCAATATCCACCACAGTAAAGAGCACATCCCACTCTCCCAATTCTCTCTCTGATCGATGACTGTTGGTTGTCAGCTGTCGCCGGAGACGTTCCACACGGAGGCGGTGGCGCTGGCGCCGGTGATGTCGTTCATGATCCGGCAGGCGGCGCGGCTGTTCCTGGCGCCTGGCCGCCTCGCCACAGACGCGGCCGCCTACTGCAGCCGCCGAGAAGACCTCGCCCGTCGACGCGCCCTCTCTCCAGAACTGGATCTCGACGAGAGCATCACTGACAAGTTAGTGCACACCACTGTTCAGCCTCAATTATTGGGCATGCAAATTTAAAATATAATGTATTTAATTAACTCATATACAAAAATAATGACACATTACAAAAAAGAGGCGCCGCCCTTTCTTGCCAGAACTCGATTTCGACGAGAGCATCAAGAGAGACAAGTTAGTTCACAACACAGTTGCAAATTTTTTTTTAGCTCCTATTAATGGGCATGCAAACTTTAAATAGATTAAGATTTCATTGAAATAGAAACAGATGTAATCTTTATTCAAATAAACTTAATGTCATGCACTTTTGAATATTCACATTATTTTATTCTACGTCAGAGGAACGAACAAAAAACTTACGTGCTCTTTTACATAAATGTGTATTGAATCTTATACAACAGTAAAAACATAAAGTAATAACAATTAATAAGTTACAGTAAACGAATACATCTGCCTGCGCTATCGGTATACACGCAAATTTAAAACCATTATATTTTAGGACTGCGGCAAATACAGTATACACATTCGTGGACCGGCATCGAACCCGCGCTGAGAACGAGAGCAACCCAACAGACACGGCATTAGCGCAGCTATACGCACATATCCAGGCATTGCCTGACTCGCAACATAAGCGACGTCTTATAAAACACTTCAACAGACAGAATGGCTATGGTACGTAACAACGGTGGTTTAGCACACTGCCTTACTATCTGATAATGGTCGCGGGTTCAATTCCATGCACAATACAATAATTTGTATTGATGAGTTTGATTGTTTGTATTGGTCTATTTTTCTATGAATGAATTTACAAAAAAAAATTAAGATGTCTAGTACACATAAAAACAAGTTGTGCTTAGTTTGGAAGGAGATGACGCTGCATGAATTGTCCTTGGGTTATTATTAATTATAATACGGTCTTTTTATTTTATAGCATTGTTGCCTAGTGATTCACAATTCAAATTACCACCAAAATCAAGACGACAACACGTCCCACCTCGTTTTTTAACTCAGGAAAATATTCATAGTGGCCCACCGGCTTAGGAATTGCTGGGGAGTGCCGTATTTTTACTGTCCAAAAAGCGTGACTACTATTCCTCAAAAATATATCGTCAGGGCAAAAGAAACTTAATTATAAGATACTTTTCGATTACAGGTACTCCAATACAAATACAGAGGACGGGCAAAGCCGCCGGTTCCCGTAGTTTTGGAGACTCGATCAAACGGCATATATTCAACAAGGGATTGCTGAACAAGACTCCCAAGAAAGGGTCTGGAAGTGCCATCAATACGGTCGAAGAGGTAACAATGTTTAATTACTATACCTTATTAATATCTCCTCTTATTCATAAAAACTAACACCTAGAAATACATTTTACTATTAAGTGTTTTATCTCATTTATTTAATCAAAAAGTTTGATGGAATAAGATAGAACAGTTCAAGTTGAAGTAAGTTTATTAGATATATAATGTTTTTATGAATATGGGGTGTCATCGCTTGACCTGTAAATCTTTTGTCATTAATCTGAATTTCAGCTTTACTTCTAACAAACGGCATGATGATAAATTTTCTACCATCCACTTATATACCTATATTATATATAATTCAAATTTAAATATTTTAAATTTGAATATTGAATTCTAATTGTGTCAAAGATAAGGTTGGAACTTGGCTGGCCGGGTAGACACCTAGGGGCTATCCATTAATCACGTGAGGCTCGAAAAGGGGAAGAGGGTTCGGCAGTAATCACGATATATTAAAGGGGGGGGGGTTTAAAATGCTAAAAAAACATAACGTGATCTGTAGGGGATCATCACTGATTTACCGACGTACAATTCATGAACGATAATGTAAAACTTGTATTGCAAGAGTAAGGAGTTAAGGACAGAGTTTTTAGTCAGTTCTTTTTGTGTCTGTAATAGACCTACATAATAAAGAAATTTTGGATTTGTATAAAACTTTCAATTAGTATTTTTATAGTGTGATATGCCACTTATGAGTATAGCATTCTGTTTGTGTAAACATCTTGATGCAAGCTACCGTTTTGTTATTGCAAGATAATTGCATGTCTATTTATTATTACGAGAGCGTATATGCAATTTTTGGCGAATAAATTAGTATAGTACTTCTCTTTGCCTTGAGAATTTTTGATGCAATATTTTTCGAGTTTTGGGAATATAAATGAACGTTGAAATAGTTAATGATATAACCTTCAGCAATTAGAAGATATTGTAGAACACACAATTAACTTCTTTTTTAAATGTTATAACACTAATGCAGCACACTATTTTTCTCGGCTCCTAATAGGTGAAGCTGCATAAATGCTCTCTCTCTTTCTAATGATCTTAAACTAACTTGTGTTCATGAGAATCTTGTCTTTCTAATCATAACCTACCTAATTATCTACACCTAACTTTCTAATCACGTCCTAACGCATGCATTCATTGCAGAAGTCGAAAGTGAAATTACGCTACACAGATGACAGTAAAGTCGATGTATCACATAAAAACATTGTATTAAAGAATCTAGCGAACAAAATAGCAAGCACTGAATCATTAGACGATAATGCGGACTACGAATCGGACGCTAGCAATGAAAGTACACTTTCCGAAGGCGCTATAAATAGAACTAAGAAAATGAGCCCCAAATTTGTATCCGAACCAAACTTGAGTGTATTAGATTCACATGATGAAACACCGAAGAATACAAAGAAACGGGGGACAAGGCTGTTCCGTTCAAAAGTGCTGTCAAGCTCGCAGAATTTAAATAAGAAATATCAGAAACGTAATGTAATTAAAGGCACACCGACATCTTGTGTTTCATGCTTCGATGAACAAGATACCGGTTCAGAGAATGATGTCTCGCATCCTGAACCAAATCAGGAACAGACCACAGATGATACTCCGAAGAAGTATGAGGCAGTTGATAAGGAACGTGTGGATTTGAAATTACATTACTTAACAAGTACGCCCGGTGTCTCAGACGCAATTGTTTTCGACGAGAATTGCACTACACCGTTCACGGTAAACTTTAGGCGGGCTTCAATGTCACCTATAACAAAGTCGACGCAGAAATTATCCAAAGCGATGCAGGTTTGTTTTGCATGTGCATGTTTTCATGTTTGTCGATTGATAATAATAGCATTCATTAATGTTTGTAAACTTTAATCTTTAATATTCTTCTTCATTTAAATCATAGAATGAATATAATATCTATAAGAAGCTGTTTATTATAAAAAAAATAAGCAAATTTTTTTTTTTATAACGTATTTAACTCAGGGTATTTTTAAAATTATTTTTTTAATGGTAAACAAGATAACTGGTTACTTGATGGTAATTGGTAACCATCGCCTATAGACGTAAACAACAGTACGGACATTACCTTATAGCGTGACACTCGTACCTCACATGCGTTACCAATCTAGAGGACTAATATGTCATCTTTTATCCTGTAATTAATTTTACCCTATTAATTAGTAATCACAAGTGCTGAGTAATAAATAGGATGCTGACCCTACAAACGAATCATAGTTTACAAAGCAAGCTGCTTGGCGGCTGAAATAGATGACACTGAGGTACATAACTCTGATCATATACATCTACGAGTATTATCGAAGTACGCGCGGCTTACGCTTTATTAATGATGAATATGGAATGCACCCGCCTGCCCTAATGGTATATGCAGGCGGGGTTTCTATGAATGATAATAGGTTTTTTAAATACCTCTATAATATTCATGGAAAACACCCAAACCTATGAAAACAATCATAACTATGTCATGCAAGAATCGAACTCGCTTCTATCGGATGTGATGATAAACTTCTAAATTACTGACGCGAGTTTATATGTCATTGTAATTCCAATATGTCATTATATTACTTTCACTTGTATGACTTTTCACTTGTGGTTTAATAAAAAAATATAAATGTTTCAGGAATCCATAATGACGCCGCGTTCTCGCAAACCGTTGATTATAACATCCGAACAAAGAGACAGCCTCCCTGAAACCAATGAGAACAAGGAACCCAAACCGGAACCAGTGTACCAGTCGATATCACCAAACAATGACAGCGACTTCGTATCATCCGAGGACGAAATGATGTCACGATCATCATTCTCGTGTGACAGGTGATGACCACGAAAGTTAACGTGAGCATGATTCAAAGCTTCGAAATTTGTATTGTATTGTGTTGTTGGAAATTCTGTGTTTTGTATTGAAATTAATATATAACTGTGTACAACTAACATTGAACTAACTAAGCGGCAGCTTGTACTAATAGCTAATAATAATATATATTAGATAAGAGATAGATTTGTTAACTCAACTTTATAATTTGGACCATATCAATATCATAAATTTGAAATTATTGTTTGTCTGTTTGTAAATTATTTTAGTATTAGTTTTATTATGTCATGTCTTCAGCCATTTTTACGTAAACATTAACAAAGAGATGATCAGACAGTTTTTCTTGAGTGAGTTTCGAAGAGTACGAGTTACGAAGTACAACTTCAGTATTCAGTTTTATAAAATACTAGCTGACCCCAAACATGGTTTTGTCATATAAATTAAAATCGCTATTAAAAATTGGGGTTGGTGATAGAAGGGTGAAAATTTAGGGTGGTGTGTATTTTTAAAAATAACAAAAATTAGGGGTTGGAGAAACCTTACCACTTAGGGGTATGAAAAATTATGAAGGTAATTAAAAGGTATGAAAAAGGGGTAGGCGATTCTCAGATCTGAATATGCATATATAGTCAAATTTCATAAAAATCGGTTAAGCCGTTTAGGAGGAGTATGGTAACTAACATTGTGATTCGAGAATTTTATATATAAGATATTGTTATCTTTTACAGGTCCAACTGTACGGCAAACACTTCAAATACCCGTAAGCCTTATGATACTCGCTCAGCCTCCGTTGGTGATGTGAGCCCACTTCGTTCAGAGAACACTAGGTTTGTAATAAGCCACGACAGACCTAACATTATACAGGATTTAAATACAACACTCTCTGGGAACGAAGAAGGCGTACCGCTACCAGTGTTCAAGATATCGCAAGAAACCAGCTATGCTGAGCAAAAGTCTAAAACGCTCACAGAACCGTTCAGGGAATACCTCATGAGTAGATCTGTATTAACCGCAACGCCCGTTGACTTATCGATACTAAACAAATCGAATGACACTGAAGAGAAGATAACAGATTCACTACTGTACTGTCTCGATGGGAATGTCCCATCCGATTTGACATTATCGATCGGTAATTTAGCTGTCGATAAAGAATCGAGTTTGCGGTCACCACTAAAGAATGTTAACGGTATTGTAAATATAGAAAGTCCGAGTAGAAAACGGAGCGCGAGTGTTGTTAACGATGGTTCTGGTATCGAATGTAAGAAATCGATGGTTGAAAAGGAGAATCGAGTAACTGATACACCGTTCGAGATAAGAGAGACTGAACTATAGCGTATATATGTAGGTGTGAATACACCGATTATTGTGATCAATACTGCCTTATTATTTTATAGAATTTGAACGTGAATGTTTTATTTTTAATTTTTGGTGCGAAAATCGCCAGTGCCTTATTCATTGTAAGGCTATTTAATTCGAGCATAAGATATATAAAGTCGAACTCAAAACCATTTATTTAAATACAGTACATTATACCGTCCAGTTAAGCTGCAACTTCATTTAAAAAGGACAAATTACAAATAATTAAATAATAGTTATTTTTTAAAGTAAATTTATTAACTTTATCATTTATTTGGGAATACTTGAACGTTATGCACGTTTATCATATCAGTAATGGTTCTGTAATAGGCATTACTCAGCATATTGTAATAAGTTTTTAATCTATTAAACGGTAGTTTCAGAATCTCCTTCAGTAGAAATCTGTAATTTATATAAACAAACCAATTACAGACTAGTATTAGAGCAAATGATAAATTGTTAGCGGATATTCGTTAACTAATAAGGACCATTCTAAAGACATTTTCATGTTTATGCGTCCGAAGAGAACAGTGAATTAAACTTGTGCATACGTAGTACTTACGTACATACGTGATACTTTGTTACCTTTATAATTTTATTGTTGAAGATGTACTGACCATTTTAATATAATTATATATTAAAATGATGGAAATTTAGTGTCACAATATATTCTTAAATTTAAGCGTACACACAAAAATATTGGTATAAATAGAACAACAAATAGTATTATAATAATAATTATTTTTAATAAAATATTATTACATATCACTGGTTTTTATATTTTGATGTTTTCATTGTGATGATTAGGACAATAATAGATTTATTTCTATTTTAGTACACACATATAAGTTTAATTACAAGTATAAATTGGGTAAATCTGCATGTATGCTACAGCAATACAAAATGGATCATATATTTAAAATATTAAAATAAATAATAAATAAATATTCCTGCACAATTACGTCATATAGTACCACCGTAAGCAGAGCTTGTGTTATATGTACTAGACAAATGATATATACTACTGTAAATACATACATATTATACATAGAAAACACCCAGACCGATACAAACAATCATACTCATGAATACAAATGTTTGTACCGTGCGAGGAATAGAACCCGGAACGATCGTAGGTGAGGCAGTGTGCTAAACTAGACTACCGGGGCGTCTATATCGCACTATTCCTGGAAAAAGTAAGTGGCTTTCGCCAACTTTTCAGGAGTTTAAAAAAAATGTCCTATATTTTTTGTATGAGTTCTAGAAATCAGTTTCAAAGAGAAAATCGTAGGTCACCGTGTGAGGAATAGAACCCGTGACATAGACCCAGGAATAGAAGCGGTGAGCTTAACCACCGAAAACGTCATCAATTAAAATGAAATATACTCACGAATATATTAAGAAAGAATATTATAGAATATATTACCCATTCCTTCCCACTGCCCTATTTTTAGGACACTACATTTAAATTTGTTTTTCAACAAACTATGTAATTATACTGTAGATACTACTGAAATTTGTATTTTAAAATATTTTTTCTATTAAAATACTTTTTTTTGGTAGTAATACATATTTACGTCATTTTAATACATATTATAACTTTTTTTTAATGTATTAAGACCTTAATCCTATTACATCGACGCTTGGGAAGTAATGGTTTATATTATCTAATCTTAATCTTAATAATAATATTATAAACGCTAATGTTTGTAAGTATGGATTTTTGTTACTAAAACTACTGAACGGATTTTGATGAAACTACAGTATATAATATAGAAATATATGAATACAGAAAAATAAATATATTATTTTTCTGTATTTATCTATTTTTATATTTCAATAAAAATAAACATACTAATATATCCATATAAAATATAAGGATCTTTTCAATATGAATTTGGGTTGACATCTTCTGAGGCCAACAGGAAGTGCATTCCAAGATCGATGGCAGAAATACTGAAGGATTAAGATAAGAAATTAGAGCGATGAGGAGTATGTAGCATGAGATTAGAAGAGCACAGTTCACGACAATGTGATGAACTTAGAAATTGAATTCTTTGAGGCACTGTGGAGCTAGTGGATATATAGAATAGAAAAGACATTATTACACCATCCTTTATCCTAAATAATAAAAACGCTCGAGTTAAAATTATCTTCAGTCACGCATATAACATGCTTTAGCGTCAATTAATGGTTAAAGTTCTATATGACGACCGCGACGAATTAATACTGCGGTGACCCCAAGACCGTACACTGATACACTACGCAAATGGTCTCATTAATGACTTCACGCTCTTGCCCTTATCTAAGGACAAGACGTGAGTGATAATGTAACATATTGCTTTATTATTTTGTCTAGTAAACACTCACATACTTCAGTTATGGAAGGTCAAATTAGTATGCCCAGAGTGTTGTTACTTCGTGTAACTTAGATTGATTTAAAAGGTCAGACGGGTTATATAGCCGCAGGCTGCAAGGGATTCTATTAGCCTGAATCCGAGTTTATTCGTCGATAACAGTCCTACAACTTAAGTAGGTATGTGTACCTCCTTTTTATTCTCGGAATATGATATTGCCTGAACGGACAACAAGCCACAAATATAAATAAGAATATTCTACTCTTTTTGAAACCAATTGAAGCAGGTTAAATCTATTTTTTTTATATAATCGCCCATGAGATAGCATGACGAAAACCGAATAGAAACGAACACTAGCACTAGCTAGTGTTCGTTTCTATTCGGTTACACTAGTATGATATTTAGGTATAGTTAAAAATGGTAAAGCATGGAAAGAAACGCTCGCCATCGACACGCTGGAATCTAAGTGGTCTAGGTGGAGGAGTGCGGTTTCAGAGGAGCTTTCGGTCCGTGTACACGATTTTGGAATGAACTACCTACCGAGATTTTCTCGATAGACTACAGCATGTCAGATCAGAGGGGTCGTATGCTTGTCCATCATCGTAGTACAAAAAATATTACGTCTACTTTTATTTGACTTTTATTACACTATAATTGACGCAGTGGAAGCGTGTTATTTTTTTTTTATGGATGACAATGGAATGGTTCAACCTCCTGCGCTAACGGTTTACGCTATCTAGGCACCAATGGAGGATGATAAGATGAACATGAGGTCAGGTAAGTTAGCCCATCGTGACCAATTCACCAAGAATTTATCACGATGGTTTCCAGGGGGAACCGCGTGGAGGTCAACCTGACACGGTACATGACTAGCAATGGGGTCAACAGTCCACATTACTAACAATCCCCTTCCCCCTCGGAAGCGTGCTATTGGCATTTTATATATGTAGGCACGAGCAAATAAGAATACTATACTGTGTTTAAAAGCATCCAATAGGAATTACATGGGGTAAGCATCTTCAGTAGAGACTCAGTCCAAATTTATTATATTTCTAAATATCTTGTTATAATTAATTTTTTTGTATTAAACTACTATAAATATAGTCTTTTACACATGTATTTATCATTATCTACAATTGTATAATTGCGGTGTAGTGATTATATTTAATTGTTAGCGGAACTCTTATTTATCTTGAGCAATCGTTATTTAAATTATAAATATTGTCAATAGGGTTCATGAACTTGACATTTTAAACATTAGATATTATCTACAACTGGAGCTGACAAAATGTGAACACGTGAAGCTGTAGTTTTTATTACAGCATAATAGGTTTGTTTGAAATAATTTAATAGATTTTGTTATAAAAGATCATAGACAAAATAGTATTTATTCTATTCTAACATGCTATAGTAACAATCATATTATTGGGGCACGACATGTAGTCTTGATATTTCTCAAAATCTTAAGAACAAATTTAATAAATTCAAAGTTTAAAAAAAGAGTTAAAAAAAAACCATACAATTAAGAAGCATAAATGCATTTGGATATCATACAACTTACCTAAAACACTATTTTACCTTACTTTTCCTCTGACGTCCTTACCTATTTGTCGCTACACTAACCACAAGTTAAAATGTTATTTAAAAAATATACACTAACCGTGCTCGCGATTTCACCCGCGTGAAATTTATAGCCTACTCTTATGTATAAGCTATATTATTGTAAAGTTTCATTGAAATCCATTTAGTAGTACCATACTCACGAACTTCTGCGTTTGTAATATTAGTTAGATTATAACACATATTTGGAGTCCTAGTGATGGCATACTATGTGACATTATGATTACTACATTGTTTGTTTCTTTCTTTCCTACAAAACGTTAGTAAGTTTATTATAAGCAATAATAAGACACTATCTTAGGATACGAGTATCTCTATAGTTGTAATTGGTAGCTCGTCAAGTATCAAGTTATTAACAGGATGTAGCTTCTTGGTAACTTTTACTATGTATCCAGGACTTATCTATCTCTAGTAAGTGATTAGTGACTATACGAAAACTATCTAGATCATAATGTAAACGTGCCATCTTCATCATAGAGCGGATTCAACTTTGTACATAAGATTGAAAGTCATAAATCCTTGTGATATGATAGTGTATCATAGTGTTTTATTATTAATTAAGATTTATCGATTATTAAGTTTTAATAAACTTATAATTGTATTTATTCGACAGATAAAATGTAACTAAAACCTTCTATTATATAATGGTTTCATGACATCTTGTTTATCTATAGTAGCGGTACTACCCGCGGTATTACCCGCGCTTAGGGAATTACACTCTCAAACTAGCATCACTGTCTTGATTTTTTCATAGTATAGTCAATGAGCTTGTAATACACCCGATGGTTTGGTATACAATATTGGACTATTCCGAGTATTCCTTTTCAGGGCTTTGGGGATCGTCGGCCCTTACGATCGATGGGCCTTCTTGGCGATATTATGTATTACAAAAATGCATGGTAATTATATATATCTTTATTGTCTAGTACCCGTAATAAAAATCTGCGACTTTGAGATTAGATTGCGCTGTATTAATTATTCGGGGGACATTATTATATGTCCTTACTGCGGTACCATACTAATATCAACATAATATTAGTTTTCTTTGTCAGCGAGTTATATAAAAATTAAATTAACTCAAAAAACATTTTGGTGAGAATTGTTCGAATAGTTCATAATGCTACCAACGATTTTTTAGGCGTTATCGTTACTGGATCCATTAGCCCCTGGAGTACAATGATCAAAATTTTTGTTCATCATTATAAATAAAAGAACTCTATAATAATTACAGTATTCGACTTATCATTGGTGATATTTATAGGCACAAATAAAAAGTTAAAACTAATAAAAAGTTATCACAATTTACAATAAAAAATTATCGTATTCAGTATTTTCGATACAGTTTAATCTCTTTATATAAATTTAAATAATTACATTTTTATTTGTAGACACAATTTACATAAGAGGTCGATCTTAAATTTCGTCACACCCAGTTCAGTATTTTTAGGTTACCATTTTTGTAAGTTGTGATGTGAACCCCTTGTTAAACAATGTCACACTAGTTCAAAAAAGATTATTTTTTAGAAAAAAAATTAAGGTTTCTCATGTAAGTAAAATTAATGCGAATGTGATAATTAGTAGGCAAGATAAACAGCAGTAGAATTGACAACAGACCCGGTAGCAGCAGTTCATGCACCGGGTGCCATGTGAGTCGGTGCTTTTGCTGAAAAAAAAAATACAAGAAATTTATGATCTTAAGAGTAAAAGACTGAACGATAGACTGACTTCATGATTCAATAAAATGCAATTCTGTAATATAACTACGATCACATTATAAAATGTATATCTACTGTGAAGAACTTTCTCACTTTTTTTTACTTCTGGAATATACGTAATGGAGACCTATTGGCCAAAGGGGAGGAATGTATACTGCCGGAGCCCTATAGGCTAGAAACCTGATGGTATATACCTAGATAACCTCTCCGTTCATGCCGGGGGAGAACTCAAAAACTCAGTCTTCCGCTTCCCCGCCCTGAAGGAAGACTTGACCACGATGTGCTCGATATACTAACCTGACGACATTCTCATCCTATCGTTCTTCACTGTCACTACAGCATATACCATTACTGTAGGCAGGGGCATCATTCTATCACAAAAAAATACTCACTATCTTTTGACCGTCACATAGCGGGATTCTACTTTTGGTTTAGCACTGATTGCTTTTCCTTTTTTGAACACTTTTTCGGATTTCGTCTTCACAATTGTGGTCGACGACGGCGCGTACTTCTCTAGTAGCTTCTGCTGCTTTTTTAACTGTTCCAAAAACTCTATCTCCCTCTCTCTTCTGGCTATTTCAATATTCTTCTGTATTTTCCTTTTTTCTTCCTTTTTGTAATCTCTTAATGCCCTGCGACGTTTATACCATCTACAAATATTGAATCGTCGTGTCGAAATTTCGTATTTGGGAGAGTTTCGTTGCAATGTTCTAAATTTTTTTTTTATTTTGACTATGGTGGGTGATTTCTCTTTGTAGTGGTTGATGATTACTGATGTGGGGAGATGTCGTGGCTCTTCAATATATGTTAGAGGTCTGAAAATAAACTAATTGATGTAGAGAGTAATATATGATAAGATCAATTATGATAATTCATTCATTATAAATATGGAGTTATTTTTTATTAAAGTTAAGAAACGATGATAAATAATATCAATATGAATACATAATATTCTAAGAAACATGGATATTTAGGCTATTACAAATATATATATATATATATGTATAGCTCTATATTAATTTTTTTTTTCAAATTTTGCAAATACCTGATTATTTTGCCTCATCATTACTTTCCTTGTTTCTGAAGGGATAGGCATGAGAGGACACTCGGTCATCTCATGTCTATCCCTTAGCTAAGGGCCTTAATTAATAGATACAGTACTAGATTCCTTTATATTTATTTTACCTTTTATATTTTGCCACAATGTAAAAATACATTTGGACATCTTTACTCAAATGAAAACAATAAACCAATTACTTTATAAATTTCTTGTTCTTCTATCCTGAACATATTTTTTCTTCTTGACAATAGCACAGTTTTCCCTTCGATGACTGAAGTACTTTATGTATTGAAAAACTCACCACATTATTGTTTTATTGGGCATTTGTTGCTGTAATATTGAAGTTTTACGTATTTCATTTCATTGGCTAAGCAAATAAACACTACGTTTTGGAGAAGACACTGCCCTAATAATTTCGAATTTAATTTGTAACTATATAACCTACTACAGTGTGAAAATATAAAAAAATATTTCATTAAAATAAATGCCTTGTTATAATTGACGCACGTGTTTGTTGAGGAGAAAATCCTAAAAAACAATCTATATCTACATATAAACTTAGCCTTAGTTTGCAATAATAAAAAGGTTGTAAAGGTAAAAAATTGGTTACAACGTTTTATACAACAGCAATTTTGTTATAAGTGATGACGCCCAGATGACATTAAACCAGAAATGACTTGAGAATTATACTTAGACAGTTTTCTTTCTCTACAATTGCTTGGTTTACTTGCTTACCAGTAATTACACGTGTACATACAATATTGTTTTTTTTTTATTATATAGGCAGGCAAAATTTTCTATATTATACAGCCTTGTGTTTTTACTAAAGTTTTAATTAGACAGCTTCAATCTAAGAAGAGTTACTGACTAATATCATTTAATACAGGAGAGGATTAAAAGCCCACATTTTTTACTGATGACAAGTACGTTTTGTATGCTACGTAGCGATTTCTAAGTTTTATTTATTTATCTATTATTTGTTTGATTGTCAGATTAAGCGTATCACTTTTTAAATATTATTGAGAGCATTTATTAAAATATAGATATAAATTGCAATGAGGCATTATATAAATTGAGAAAGTATTTATTCTACCTTGAACCACACTTGAAATTTAATTTGTGCCATGTTTTATTTCAAAATAGCTTTCGTAATACCTACTTAATTAAAATTAAATTTAATAATAAAATGAGTCAATCATTTTTAGAACTACATAACAAACGATAGGGAAAATTTTATTCTTTTCCACATATTCCACATAATCGGACTCGATTTTCCATAGTATGATTTGTTATGTTCCCTACAATATCCACTCCAATACTACCCCTGATTTTAATGTCGTATGTTTCCCATTAAATTAAACAAATAGGATGTAAAATTGATTTTGAAATTGATTGCGCTGTTTTTTATTTTACATTATTTGTTGTATGTGTGTAAGTTTTCGACTTGGTAGAGAAAAAATAAAGGTAAAAAAAAGAAATTGAGCCTGTTTCTGGTGAGTTTAAAGTGACATAAAAATTACTAATTCAAGTGTTGAATTTAAGATTGTGAAAGAATCTTCTTAAGACTGAATTAGAGATGGAATTATATATAGTCAATTCGTATAGAATTACAACGCCCTGGTATACCTTTTGTTTATTTCTGTATTTGTTTTTATGAATTAGTTTACCAGTCAACGTCAGTTTCCACCTTTAATTAAAACCTATTTATAAATTGTCGTAAACATCCATAGAACTCTCTTGGGTTCGTTACTCTGACTCGCGGTTGACTATTTTTAAATGATAGATAATAAGATAAAATTACCCATTTTTATGGCGAGCAATAAGAAAAATGAAAAATCATTTCAAGTAATAAAATCCGCAGGGAAATCTTACTAATATAATAAATGCGAAGGTTTGTGAGTATGGATGGATCTTTGTTATTCTTTCACGCAAAAACAACTGAATGGATTTATTGAAACTTTACTGTAATATAGCTTACTAGTTACCTATCCCGGCTTCGCACGGGTGAACATATATATTACATATAAACCTTCCTCTTCAATCACTCTATCTACTAAAGAAAACTGCTTCAAAATCCGTTACGTAGTTTCAAACATTAATCATACATAGGGATGGACAGACGGCGAAAGCGTCTTTGTTTTATACTATGTAATGATATATCAGAATAATAGGCTATAATTTAAAAAGATATGTAAATTGGGCGATATATAACGATATGACTGGTGCAGAAGAAGTTGCGCCGGTCAGCTAGTAAAAAATTATTATAGATTACAAATTGAAACATGGGGTAGTTAAATAGCTCCTATAGGAAGTTGTCTTATAAATATGTCTCAATGTATATGTACTTAGGTATATTTGTCACAACTCTAGTGAAATCGTAACAGGCCGTTAGTAACAAGGAATATTCGTATATGACTTGACAATTAGTAATATTTACATTACTAAAGATGGAGAATACTGAAATAGTAGCTAATTAACAAGATATATGCGACATCAAAACGGTGTTGGATTATGTTCTAGGTGTAATTCATGAATAAATTGTTCGGGTATCTTTGATTCGTTAGTAAAATAGAACAGTATTGTTTACTTAGCATTTATTTATACATATTATATATGTATTAACATTAATGATAGACAAGATGAACAGTAAAAAAATATTAAATATATGACACTTCTGTGATAAAATAGTTCTTGTACTGTTATTAAAACGGCTACTGATTTATATTTTAATATGTTTAACAAATAATACTATATGTATGTTACGTGTAATAAAAGAAAGAAAGAAAAAGATATATATTTAGCGCATAGGTATAGTCTACAAAATAAACATGTAAAATATAATATAATATAACCAAATTTGTTATCAGCTTTGTGTCTAGACTGTAATGCCCAAACGCAGATTTTCATTGGTACCAAGAGTAATTTTGGTAATAATGAAGTAGTCTGAGGCTGTAATAGTTCTACATAATCTGAGCAACTATTATTATTCCTGAGGGAATTACAAGAAATTTATTCTGAGTGAATACCAACGTAACAATTACATAAGTGTTTAAAGTTTCAATATTCTAGCCATAGTTTATACCCTACGTTAATCGATCAGTTACTTCTGACAGGTCTCTTCATATATATATTAATACTTATAACCTACCACTTTATTATATTATTATATATATAGATTATATAATATATAACAGAATTAACGCAATATCTACATTAAAGTAGTTGCGTAGAATCGGTTACTGATTATTTACATATTTTGTAATCAGTGTAGATAAATTATAAAGACTACATAAATATGTTCACTGACGTCATAAACAGAACAAAAGGTACCTACGTATGTACATATAATCACCCAGGTAAAATCTCAATAACGAATTGATTTAAAAAAAAATCCTAAAAAGATAAATGCTTAAAGTCGTAATCATAGGAGTCTGTAATGGATCTACACGAATAAAGATATTATGAATAGAATTCAATATATATATACAAGTTATATTTAATAACAAGACTCAAATTATGATTTATTGAATAAACAGCTTGTTGCTTGAAAGCAAACTGTGGCGTGTAAATTTAATTTGTAAGACGCCGAGAGCGCTGCTAAAGCTAGCTAGCTAAACTACCGGAATTCTATCTTGTCTGGATTTAAGAAAACTAAATTTGGATAAGGTATAAAAATAAAAGTTTGTTCAAAATATCCACCGAATAAATTAGATATCGCCGCATCTAAATTTTATGAAATTTATGCATTTAATGTATTCTCAAAATGTTAATAACAAATACCTAATACTGATAATAACCCAGGAGAATTTACGTAGCGCAATCTAGTCCCAAGCTAGGTATTCCTTGTGTCATGAGTACAAGACAACTGATAGAAATATTTAAATACATACATGTAGGTTCCTGGACCTACATGTATTATTGCGCTATGTAAATTCTCCTGGGTTATTATCAGTATTAGGTATTTTTTATTAACATTTTGAGAATACATTAAATGCATAATTTAAATGCATAAATACCTTAAATAGCGATGACATATACATTTCGCTAGGTTTATAAGCAGCAGGGGGCGAGCATATCGCCGCTTGTCAGGTTCTTTTGTTTCAGTCGACCTCCTCGTGGTGCCCCAGGATACTATCATGGTAAATTCTTAGTGAATTGGCCACTATGGGGGTAACTGCTACCCTCCTCCACTGGTACTGCTAGCGTATATCATTTCATTCTATTATCATCATCATCAATTCAGCCCGGAAGACATCTACTGCTGAACAAAGACCTTCTTTAAGTATCTCCACAACGATCGGTCCTGCGCTACTCGCATCCAACTACTCTTTCAGCGATCTTGACCAGATCATCGGTCCACTTTTAGAGGGCTGCCCACGCTGCCCTTTGTTCCGTGGACATTCTTATTTCATTCTATATGCTTACATTAAAAAAATCTATTCATTCTGGGGGTACGCTGTGTGTCTAAAAACTGTGAAATTCTTATCCATTAATCCACGATATTCTGCTTCCTCGTTATAGTTCCGTTGTTCGTTGCTTTCGAATTCATTTAGCGTCGAGTCTGTACTCTGTATGACATATTTACAGTTCACACGTTCTGTGCCATCCAAGTAGGTACATGGTAGGGTACTGTACATGTGTATAAAGTAGAATGAAACAGCTTAAATAAAACCATAGACAAAGTTTACGGAGAAGACATTTATGAACGAAGCATTTTCATTGGGCAATTAACGTAATTTTTGTTTCTTTTCATTGACTAATTTGATAACATTTTTAAAATTACAGTACATGGGTCTAGTGATGTGAAATAAAAAAAATCTATACATTAATAACTGAATAAATAATTTCAAATTTCATAAAATCGTAAACTGAAATTAACATTTTTAGAATCGGTTACAGATGGGGTATAATCTAAGTATATTTAGAAAAGGTATACAAAGCAGTACACTGTACAAGGTTTTGTGTTATATTAATTTATTTACGAGATGCATATAAGTACCTTGGTGCTTAGTAAATAATTTAGTGAATTCAAACCACAACACCCCTGAGCACACTAATTTATAATGCTATTCATTCGGTATTATATTATCAATACCTAAGTATAGTGAACAATACAGAGTAATCTTGCTATTTGAGTTCTGTTCAATAGCACTCAGTCTTGTAGTAAATAATGCTGTTAATTTGTATTACACGTATATGGGGTTTATATATATATAATTAATATGTTTGAAGTTTAAAAAGCATGTCAATATTACAAGCCACTAAAATGCATTTTTAAAAGTAAGAATGTTTTAAAAACAGAATTCGAATTGCGCGGGAACCGCCCCGCTTTTACAATTTATGCAAACTTAAGAATATAAATTGTATATTAATCTTAGATACCTGCTTACTTTATAATTAATTATAACCAGTTTTTGCTTGTAATGGTGTATTTACATATTTTTTATTAGACTTTAACACAATAACCAAAAAATCTTAACACAATACAGCAACAATATATAGGAACTTCGTTATGCACAGAAGTGTTTTCTAAAAAGACATCAAAGTACTACAAGACGCGAAAATGCATCTAAGCAAAGCAGAATGGTAGCTCAGAAGGCAGGCTTCATCGTTAACAATGTGTGTCCGTGTAAAGTACTTGGCAAAGATATAAAGATTCCA